CTGGTCCTAGGCTTCCCACCACAAGACTTGTGTTACGGTTTGGATGTGAGGTATTCCCAGAGCTCATGTGTGAGACAATGCAAGAAGGTTCAGAGGAGAAATGATTGGGTTAGGAGAGCCTTAACCCAATCAGTGAATTAATCCCTGGTGGGATTAAATGAGTAGTGACTAAAGGCAGGTGGAGTACGGCTGGAGGAGGTGGGTCGCTGGGGCATGGCCTTGGGCTATATATTTGTACCTGGCCAGTGGAGTCTCTCTGCTTTCTGTTCAAGTTGTGAGCTGCTTCCCTCGGACACTCTCTTCTGCCATGATATTCTGCCTCACCTCAAGCCCCAAGGAATGGAAATTGCTGTCTATGGACTGAGACCTCTGAAACTGTGAGCCCCCAAATAAACTTTTTTCCCCCTAGACTTGTTCTTGTCAGGGCATTTAGTCACAGCAGCAAGAAAGCTGACTAAAACATTTGGTGTTACATGAGAAAAATAAAACCACTACCTGGTTAAACCCATATAACCCAGATGCACCATCACCCACCAGATGTAATCCCAGTTGGCACAATACTCTGGGACTAAAGCCCCACCTTTCAGTGATCATAATCCAATGATCAAGGAGTGCTCTCTGGCTTCCTTGCCAGTAAACAGCCCCTACTGTTGTCCTATTTATCCTTAAATGTCACCTTGGATATCACCCATCATCTCCTGTTTTCTTATTTCTTTCCTCTTCACTGCACAGGGGTGAGGTAGAGGCCAAGAGGAGGCTGGGTTCATGGTCAGAAGGTGTGGTAAGCATGTGTGCCGAAGCACAATAGTCGTGCAGGCGTTCAGCCAGGTTAAGAATCATAGTACCAACCTGTCCAGGGACGATTCTCCCCTAGAATTCTTCTCCTCCAAGTGAAATCCCCCCTTGCCACAGAGCTGCCTGAGCCCGGCTTGTACTGAACACACTTCAGAAAAGGGCAAAGGTCAACGGAGGTTCCAGGCAGAACTTTGGAGAAGAAACTCCCAGGACATTGGGTACAAAGTTGATCAAGGAAATATTCCCAGAGAACCTGCAGCCAGGTGTGTCTTGGGCCAATTACATCACATTTCCATCCCCCACTCCTTTCAAAACACTCAACAATGATCTCTTTATTCAAGTACTTAAGGAGGGTCAGCTTTATTATCTCTCATTTTTTTAGAGAGTAAGAGAAATTGAAGTGCAATGTGACTTGCCCTGTGAAACAACCTAATATCTGTGCATTTTCAGCTTCTTTTCTTTACCTTTTAAAGGTCATTTCCTCAGAGGCAGAAATCATGGCTTGGGTAGATTTCTCTTTCATCCAGAGCATGGCCTAGTATGGATCATTGAAAAATATCATTAATGCAGATGACGGTATTACATAAGGCAGATATGGTCCAGGGCCCAAGATGAGCCTCAGTCAGAATGGAGGAAGGAAAAGCTTTGCCACCATGCTCTGTCTCACTGATGGTCTGCATCAAGAAAGATGTGCTGGCTGGACCCTCTGTACTGGCCCCACTATGTCCCCTGGCAATGTGTTTTGGTTAGGAAGCTGCCATTCAACTCAACAAACTTATCAACCTGCTGGGAATTCCCTGCAGAAGACCCATGTCATGGGAGTCTGCAAGCTTCTAAGAGGGTAGAAGTCAACAGAATTTGCCAGAAGATTCCAAATGCTAGCTCACATGCTCAAGGTTACTCCCAAAGAAGAGCTCTCTAGTGTGAAATCGGAAAGATTTGTCCATATAGCCCATGAGCCATCCAGGCCAGGCCTAAAGGTTCTGCTCAGGATTTATATTCAACTCAGGTTCTAGAGTAGGGAGACAGCACTGTTTATAAATGACATGAATCCTGGAGAAAACAGGCAGCATTTGTTTAAAAATACCATGCTGCCTGCCTGTACCCCAACTCAAGCCTGCTGTTGGTCACTTTCAGTTAGGCAGAAGAAGTAAGTTCAAGAGATCCACATTAACACTGTTAATGCTCTGTAAACTTGAAAATTGCTAAGACTAGATTTTAAGTGTTTCTATCACAAAAATAAATAAATCTGTGAGGTAATGCACCTAAAGAAGCGTGATTAAACCATTGCACAATACACATTTTATAACAGGGTGCCGGACACCACAATTTGTATTAGTCAATGAAAAAAATAAACATTGAAAATTTATTTACTGAATAAAGTGATATTAAAGAAAATGTAAAATTTATAAACAAAATCACACGTGTATGACAATACTCCTAGCAGGTTGGAGGCTTCCTATAGAAAAGTAAAGAAGTCGCAGGTCCCCGGGCACCTCCTAGCTTCCCAGTTCAAAGGGCTGCAGAGGTATTGATCACAGCCTCCTTACTCTCTCCCTTAAGGGAGGAAGAGGTGGTCAAGGCCCAAGAGGGATCCAGAGTCAGGTTCTAGGTGATCTCCAGATTCTTGGTTCTTGCCAATGAAGTGTCCAGGGACCAGAGGGGTGGGGGGTGCATTAAGCGTTTGATGACTAACACACAGGGTATATTTTGAGAAATGCTGGCTTTGACCTACTTAGGCAGCCAGAGTGTGGAGAGGTTCAAGAGTAGGTGTTGAGGCCTACACCTACTTGAGGTGGGACCTGTGAAGGACTCTGGCCACAGCTCAGAGAGGTGACAGGATTTCTGTCAGTTTGGGGTTCCTTCCTCGCTGCTGTTTTCCTGATGTTCACATCATGATCAGCTGAGCGGCGGGTGGGCAGGGCTCCCTCCCAAGCTTCCCTGAGGTGTGAGGGTCATGCTGCTGTGTGGGTGGTGCATGCTCTCTGCTCGGCTGGGAGCAGCTGTCCTCTCTCCCTGGAGCCCCACAGGTGTCTGACAGCCTCCTCCCAGCCTCTGCCCTGGCCTCACTCTCAAATCCATGTGCCATCTCACCCCTATTTTTCGGCCCACTCTCAGCCCAAATCAGCTCTTGAGAAGGAATGAGGAAGAGCTGTGTTTTCACTCTCTCCCCAGAAAGGGCCTCCGTTTCTTTCCTTCACTCTCTCGTAACTCCTGGAGTGGGCAGAGTGACGAGCCCCCAAAGGTGTCCACCTTCTGATCCCCAGAGCCTGGGAACAGGATCCCTCACAGGGCGGAGGGGACCTTGCAGAAGTGACTCAGTGAAGGAGATGAGGAGACTACACTGGGTGATCCAGGGGGGCCCCACATGGGAGGTGGGAAGGTCAGGGTCACAGATGTCTTGACAGAAGCAGGGGTCAGAGAGAGAAACCGGAAGACACAGTGTGGCTGGTTTTCAAGATGGCAGCTGGGAAGCGTGAGTGAAGGAATCCTTCCCTAGGGCCCAGAGGAAAGCAGCTGGGCCAACCCCTGGAGGTTGGTCTGGTAAAGCCAGTGCTGGACTCCAAACCCTCAGAACTTAAGCTAACAAATCTGAGATGTTTTAAGTCACAAATTTATGATGAATTGTTACAGCAGCAACAAGGAACTAATACCACTGCCCACACAAATATGCAGGTTACAACGTGTCAGGAACAGGGGAACGGGATGGGGTGTGGGTAGTGGAACTCCATCAGGACTCTCTCTCCTCGTGCTCCTCACTTTCCCACCCTGTGTGGTCCTGGTCTTGGCCTTGTGTGGACCAGCACCTGACAGCATCTACTGGGTGCCTTCACACCTAGGCAAAATGTCCAGCAAAGGTCACAAATAGACCCCCTTCCTCCTTCTCCTTTGGCCACTCTTCTTCTGGGGAATCGGGGAGGTGGGGGTATCCTAGACTACACCCCAGCATTTGCAGATAGCCAGCTGTCTCCTGCAAACCCAAGTAAGAAGCAGTTGGCTAAAAAAATGAGTTCGCTGGCGTAATTAGCATGGGAAACATGAGCTAAGCAGCATGCTCAGGTCCTTGCTTTTGATACAAATCTTCGTGTTAGAGAATTTATGTATGACCCAAAAGACAAAGACACATCTGTGACCTATGGCAAACGACCTTTACAAGAATACCTGCACCTGCCCTTGCTCTGGCCACAGCAGAATCCAATCCAAGATAAACACCAGGCACCAAATTTCCTCTTACAAAATAATTGTGGTATTATTTTCACCCTTGATTAAGCACCCTCAATGTCCTAGGAGAGTCCCTCATGTGGAACAAAAATCAGGGCCACCTGCCCGTGAGGCCATTCCCACAAGGACTGCCCAGAACATGACAATGAAGTGGCAGACAGGTGGAGTAGGTGATGCCAGCCACCACCAGCAGGAGCAGCTGTAAGTCTGCCACCAGTGTGGGCTCCCTGGCCCTAAAGTTAGCAGAACCTGTCTCCTGGAGGGCCAAAGTTTATCTTCTCAGTTAGGCATTGTCAATTCTAGTGTAGAGGAAATTCTAATAGTCCTGGGTGAAACTGGGAGATATTTTTTTCCCCCTAAGGTTAAAAAAAAAAGAAGTCATGCCCACCGGAAATCTTTTTCTCGGCAGCTCCTTCCAGTATCTTTCACATTTCAAAACATAGACACGAAGCAAGCTTGTCCCAAAAGACAGTAGTATATGTTTCCATTTCTATGAGGTACTTAAGGGCAGTCAAATTCGGAGAAAGTACAGGGGCAGCTGCAGGGTCCGGGGAAGGCAGAACAGGGAGTTCTCATTCAGTGGTGCAGAGTGGCAATTTGGGAAGATGTGAAAGTTCCCAAGATGGACGGTGGTGATAGCTGCACAAAGCACTTAATGCCACTTAACTGCACACTCAGTGATGGTTAAAAATAGTAAATTTTATGCTCTATATACTTTAACACAATTTCAAAGAAAAACCATAAACATACATACACACAACACAACTCTCCATGTACCATTTCTTCACACTGATTCTCAGCCCTAAACACCTAGAATGTTTCTTATTTTGAATGCATCTCTCTTGAATGCAAAGAATGCAAAGAAAAAGAGAGGAGCAGCATCCCATGGAGCACCCAGTGCCCTGAAAGCCCTGTCACTCAGGAGACAAAGCCCACTGCATTCCCTCAGATGAGTTTGCAAGCTAGCAAAGGGCAGGACTGACCTGGTTTGGAAGTGATGCTGGAGATCACAGCGCTGCAGCACCTCCGAGCAGTGCTCTGTGAAAGGGCAGGTGACCAGCAGCTTGTTGAGCAGCTTGTTGACCAGGATGCTGGACTTCTTGCAGTGCTGCAGGACCACAGGCTTGCGATCCACGGGACAGAAGTCCTTCTCCACCAGGAAGTTGGTGAGGCACACGGTGCAGTAGGTATGTCCACAGGGAGTGTCCAAAGGGTCCAGCAAAGCTTGCAGGCAGATGTGGCAGATAAGGTCATCGTCCACATCTTCAGAGTAGGTATAGAAGTGGTTTTCCTCAGGGGAGTGGGCTTGGCCGCACACCACACATAGCGGGTAAGGGCTGGAATCCGGGTCATCAACGGAGTCTGGCTGGATCATGGTCAATTGGGTAACAGCTGGACCGTAAATCCAGTAAAACAATACTTCCTCAGGACAAGTCAAGATCTCCTAGGTGCCATCTGCAAACCTGGAAGAGAACAAAATGGTTCATCTTTGCTTCACAATACACAAAACACTGATGCTCAGCATGAGACTCTGCTACCAGTGGACAGGAACTCAGCTCTAATCCAATCATGGAGCAGTGTCCATTCTGTGACTGACAGGCAAGTGGCCTTGCCTTGATGGGCCTCAGTCTCACCCTCCACTCCAACGGGAGTGACATGTACTGGTGACATCCTTGTGTGGCCATACTAACGATCACCTGGTAATATCTGTGAAATGCCTATTGTAGCTTAAAAGAGATAAACTTGAAGCAATGTAATGTTAATGAAATTAAAAACAAAGTGACATAAAATTCTCTGTCACATCAGGATAAGAAATAAAACAGTTAACACTGAAGATTTTCTCTTAACTTTTCCCTATCTTTCTCCAAAACCCAGAAACTGGAAAACCAGAGTCTTCAATAAATCATCTGAGAAGAAAGAAAAGGTGCAGGGTCTTTTGCATTTTTACTAAGGGAAGAGCACAGTTTCCTTCTGCATGCATTTCCCTCCCCCTCTCATCTGCCCAGTTGCCACTGGTGAAGTGGGTTCTGGACACACGGCCTGGGTTCAAATCCCACCACCACTGTGGGCCAGTGACTTCAGCCTCTGTTTCAACCTCTGTAAAGTGGGAATAATAAAGTTCTACTTTCTAGGACTGATATGAGGATTAAACAAGATCTGTCTCACAAAGCTCTTAGATGGGTGCCTGGCATTTATTAAATGCTCAATAAATATTAGCTACTCTTCTTACATGTATTCATTACAGAATTCATTTTTTGTGTCTTCACTTGACCTCTGTGGGACCAGAAACTGAAAGCTACAGTTCCCATAAGGAGTCTTTTTAGCTTTGTTCTAATAGTGCTCTTCTATTCAATTATATATATTTTCAAATCAACAGAATACTATAAGAATGTGCATTTTCCTCTAATATAGACCGGGCCCCCCAAATAACAGAGATTTTCAGCATGTTTGATTTGTCTCATGGATAGTCAGTTGATGAATATTTTTTCAAGCATCAGCTGTGAGCTTGGGAGTGAGTTGTTGGGAGTGAGACCTCAGAGAGGGGCATGAAGGATGGGTGTGCTCTCAGGGAGTCCCCAGTCCAGAGGAGAAATGGACACACACAAAAGTAACAGAAGCCCAGGTAACACCAGGCCTCCGGGGCCACTCTCATGACAAGTGAGAACCCAACCTCCCTCCTTCTTTTTTTTCCAAAACTAAATAAGAAGAACCTTAAACTTCCCGCAAGAACATGAAGACGCATGAGTGACCTAAATGCAGACTAGCTGCATGTGGAAATGGCGGGACAACATAAACTGTGCTATATTTTTTCTCTCTTCCAAATAAAGTCTGAGGCTGTTTGTACAAACACCGCCTTATCTCAGAGAGAAACTACATGGACTCCAAACTTTCATTGAGTCAGCTTTGTTGTTTACATTTTTGAACTGCGCTAGGATGCCTGGAAGAACCCTCTGGACCAGAGGTTGAAGTAAAATGCCCCCAGGGTGACAGCACTGAAAAGGCACAGCATTTTATACAGTGTCAGCCGGGACCACCGACCGCAAAGACAGGGGGGTGCGAGAAGGGATGAAGTTTTCAGTCAAATTTCTTGGGAGCCTGCACAGCTGCTATTTGTCCTCAAGGCTGCTAGAAGGTACTGGAACCTCACCGGAAATGCTTTCAGTGACACTAGGAATAGTTAAAAATAAACAAGAAAATGGAAACAGGCCACCAAAAAGGCTATCATTCACAGATGGTGAACGGAAGCTCTGGGGCTTGTGAGGGTTTTCTGGAAGACCTTGGTCACATACTCCCACGTACTCCCGTCCTGTCTGTCCCTTCTCTCTGGCTGTTGGGAAAGTCTGGAATAGCAATGGGTCCGAAATTCGGGTGCTATCTCTGAAAACATAACTTCACATTTCTGAATCATTCTTTTATCAATGGAAAGGTGGCTGGAAGCAGACTTTTAGTATTTAAACTGTTCTAAAAGGTGTCAGATACCTCAGCTTCCTTAGGAGAGTGGAGGCAGGAGGAGACCAGGAGAAGCCTTGGCTTGGATGAGCATCCTCCAAAGGTACACGGGTGAAGGGCCTATTCTCCAGGGTGGTGCTCTTGGGAGGGGGTGGAGCCTCCTGGGAAGTCCCTGGGGGTATGCTCCTGAAGGGCCAGGTGGGACCCTGGCCTCTCTGTTTCTTGGTTCATGATCTGAGCAGTTCACATGCTCCCATCATGATGTGCCACCATCACCAGAGGCCCAAAGCAATGGGGCCATGTGATCTTGAATTGGAACCTCCAGAACCATAAGCCAAAACAATGCATTTCCCTTTGTAAGTAATTGCCTCTGGTATTTCATTCCAGTGATGCAGACCTAACTAAAAGAGCACTTCTCCCCAGCCAGGCTCGGCTCAGCTTGTATTTCATTGACACATTAATACTCCTCATAATATTCTCTTTGAGGGCTGGGGTTGTAGCTCAGTGCTAGAGCACTTGCCCAGCATGTGTGAGGCCCTGGGTTCCATCCCCAGCACCACATAAAATTAAATAAACAAAATAAAGGTATTGTATCCATCTACAACTAAAAATTTAAAAAATTTTTCTTTGAGGTTTAAGAAATAAAAATTGTAATCCACCAGACTAGTGTAAAGTACCTTTCAGAAACAGGATGTCTGGAACCCACCCCTTTCTTTTTTCTTTTCTTCTTAACAGTTTTTTGAGCATTTTCCATGTGCTGGGGACTGTGTTAAGGGGCCTTATTATATTATTTATTCCTCAAAATCCCCCCAGAAGTTTCTTTTTTTTAATTTAACTGACAAGGAAACCAAAGTGTGGTACGTAAGCAATTTGCCAGTCACACCCAAAAGGAAACCAAACAGGCAGGACTGTCTTCTCCCTCCACTTTTTGCTTCTAACCATTCCACCACTTCATCTCCCAGCACCTTTCTTGACCACTCAGAACCCCAATAGTGTAACTAATTCAATGCAAAAGGTCTGGGGAGTTAGAAGGTTTTGTCTCTTTAGGCCCCACTGCAAGTAGATATAGGGAAGATCTTGGGAGAAGAAGATTCCTTGACTCTACTGAGCCCTGGAATGATCTGAGATAGAATGAAGGGAAGGGGGAGAAACGTGGCCTCAGCCCCTACTGCAGGCCTTGCCTCCCCTCCCTTCTCCTTCTCTCCCTTCCCCTCTCCCTTCCCATCCTGTCTCTTCCTCCTTCTTTCCCCTTCTCTCCCCTTCTTCCTCTCTCCTTCCTCTCTTTCTTTCTGTTTCTGAGAGCAGTTGAAGGCCCTGGCACTTACCCATATGGTAAACCAATTTCTTAATGTATTTTTAATATAAACACCGATGCATAGATTTTCTGAATTTACTCTAGACTAAATAAAGCCTTTTGTGAATCAAAACAGATGATGAGGAGATCGACTGAAGCAGCGGTTTGTGCTCTAAAGCAAAGAACTAGGTAGGCGTTTAAACAGAGGTCAATATCATTTACCTGGCAGTTCATCTTTCCAGTTTCTATCTTATAAACACGGATGATGTCGCATGCTTTTAGACACAGAGGAGCCTTGCTGATGAGTGGAGAGGAAATGATCAAAAATCACTGATGTAACAAGTAAACTATTTTCCGCCCCAAATAGTAAGAGAGAGGCTGCCTGTTGGCTTTGAGACCATCTCAATTTACTCAATGTGTCAGGCTGCTGCCCTTCTGGCCCTGGCTAAAGGAAGCAGAGAGACTGTCATGGGGCTTTCTGCAATTTAGAGTGAGGCAGAAGAGCCTATGCCAACCTCAAGTGTGTGTGTGTGTGTGTGTGTGTGTGTGTGTGTGTGTGTAGGGGGTTGCACTTTCAGGGTTACTGTGCCTTCACAACTCTCTCCCCGCCCTTCTAATTTGGAGTAGGACAGAAGCTGAAGGTGATTTTTATAGAAATGTGTCATCAAAGCCATCAATGTAGTTCTGAGAAGCACCAGGAAGAAGCATGAAGAATACAGGTGCTTCCTCCCATCATTTCGGGGTCTGAAACCTGGACAGAACTCTGAACTTCTTGGCTGTCTCAGTCACTTTCTGCTGCTACAACAGAATACCACAAACTGGGAAGTGACAGAGCAAGGCACCTGTGCCTGTCCAGGGCTTCATGCACCAGAACATGCAGACAAGCAAGAAAGAACGCAAATGGGGACTGAACTTCATCCAGTTATCACCAAGCCCCTCCAGAGAGACCAGCCTTGGCCATTCCTGAAGGCTGATGTTCATGATCCTCTCGTCTCTTCCTACTATCACAACAGCACTTAAATGTCAATGTACATTTGAGGGACACTCAAACCGTAGCCCTGACAACAAAGGTGCATCCCAGAGCAAAAGTGAGTTGGTGCTGTCTGCAACCTAGAGGGTCCCTGGAGATTGTGTGGAAACTATCACTTGCACTAAACAGATTTAAGAACAGCCTTTGAAATATAGCCTGCCTGATAGGAGAAGATTTCTGTATAAGGTCCTTTAGAACAATGGGGTCTCTGGGGGTGCTACTGTCCTGCTAATTCTCCTTTCAGTACATCTTGACTATAGAAAATGGTTATCTGATACAGTTGTCACTGATAATTTCGTATTTTCCTATTGAAAAACCGGATTTGACCCTAAAGCTTCTCTGATATTGTTGCCTGAGTGCCCATTTCTGACCAGTAAAGAGGATTCCATATTATTCAAAAGAATCCATCTACCCACACTGATGGCAGCAAGTCCTGCTTTGGTGCTTTAATGTATTAAAAAATGAAACATTGTAGCCATAGACTCTGAGTTGAAAGGAAGTTTTCAGGGATTGTCCTGAAGCAGGTCTTTCTTACTTCATAAAATAGACTATTCTGCCTTTGGACAGTCTTAGTGGGGGGAAAAGTTCACATATTGGGCAAAATTTTGCCTCCATATAATTCCCCCACCGCCCTCCATGAATGAGTACCAGTGTTATTCACACTGCTGTTTAGAACACACCCGTCCCTA